GCTGATTTCGATTATTGTGATTAGGAACATCATGATCCTTTTATTGGCTGCTTTACCAGCTGTTGAAACTGCACTTGAGGTAAGGAAGGTTACTGCTTGTGTACTTTTTGTCTACTTATCAGTTTAAAGTGTTTTCTCTTCTGGAAGGTTTTCTTACTGAAAATTTATGTTTCAGAGGTTCTCTGAGGTTCTAGATCAGTATGAGCTTGCCTCCTCCCTTTATTATCGAGCTGACCAAGAGAGGTCTAACCTTCTTCTGCATGAGACATCTGCAAAGACAATTGTTGCAGAAGCTACTTGCAATTCGGAAAAAACTCGTGCATCCTTTGAGATTCAGGCCAGAGAATTTGCTCAAGCAAAGGCCATTGTAGCTGACAAAGCTCAAGAAACAACTACTGGGATAGAGCAGCATGGTAGGATCCTTGATGCTCTCTGGAGCAATTTGATTCCAGAAATAAATGTCTCCATAAAAGTGAGCGACAACATGGATACCATATCGCTTATATCTGCAGTTCTAGTGGCCGGAGTTCCATTGACTATAGTTCCAGAGCCTACACAAGCACAGTGCAATGATATAGATAGGGAAGTTTCTCAGCTAATCACCGAATTGGAAAATGGACTTTCTGCTGCATTTTCTTCCCTTAAAGCATATTCTTTGGCTTTGCAAAGAGTTCTTCCTTTAAATTATCTTACAACCAGTGCAGTGCATGGCTGGGCACAAGTTCTGCAACTATCTGTAAATGCTCTTTCACCTGACATCCTCTCTCTTGCCAGAAGACAGGCCACTGAGCTGATTGCAAAAGTAAATAGTGATTTTCTTGCTGTCAAATGCAATCATGATGATCTCTGTCTTAAGGCAGAGAGGTATACAGTAGAGATTGAGAGAGTTGAAGAAGAGTGTTTGGAGCTAGTCAACTCAATTGGATCAGATACTGAATCAAAAGCTAAGGACCGTCTCTTATCAGGTTTCATGAAGTACATGCAATCTGCCGGTCTTGTAAGAAAAGATGATGCTGAATTTGGACAATCAAACTACGATGCATCTAAGGATGCCAAACTACCAGGGGAGCTGGAAGAGAAGAAGAAGAAGGTGTTGGGTGTTCTGCATGTAGCTTCAAGTTCAGTGTATGACCATGTGAAGCACAAGGTACTGGACATATTTAATGGTGCAGGAAGGGACAGAAACAGTAGGTTGCAGTCTGATGTAAGCCTTTTCAGTGAGTTTGAAGAGCAGGTAGAGAAATGCATGCTAGTAACAGGCTTTATTAATGAACTACAGCATTGCATTTGCGGGCACATATCTAGCATTGATGTGGATAGAGAGTATGCAAAATCTTATCCTGAAAGGAATTGGGCTTCAATCTTTAAAAGCAGTTTACTTTCTTGTAAGAGTTTGATTCAGCAAATGATCGAAGTTGTTCTGCCAGATATAATGAAAGCTGCTATTTCATTCAAATCAGAAGTGATGGATGCATTTGGATTGATCTCACAAATTCGTGGGTCAATAGACATGGCACTTGAGCAGCTCATCGAGGTTAAATTAGAAAGGACATCGCTCGTCGAACTAGAGCAGAACTACTTTGTTAAGGTTGGCCTCATAACTGAGCAGCAACTGGCTCTTGAAGAAGCTGCTATGAAAGGTAGGGATAATTTATCCTGGGAAGAAGCTGAGGAACTGGCCTCCCAGGAAGAAGCTTGTAGGGCACAACTGGATCAGCTCCACCAAAGTTGGAGCCAGAGAGAGATACAAATTTCTAATCTCCTAAAGAGGGAAGCTGAAATTAAAAGTACCCTGGTTTCTTCCGAATGCCAATTTCAATCTCTAATCAATGCTGAAGAGTTCGGAGAACCTAATGTTATAAGAAGCAAAGCACTATTGGGAATGTTAGTGAAGCCTTTCTCTGAATTGGAATCAGTGGATAGAACACTGGCCTCATTTGGCAGTTCTAGTGTGTCTTGCTCAGATGGGATTACTGACTTAGTAGATGTTATGAGTTCTGGGCAATCATTAACTGAGCATATATGGAATTTCAGTAGCTTCCTCAGCAATCATGCATTCTTTATCTGGAAAATAGTGTTTTGGATTTCTTT